AGCGGCGCCTTGCGGAGCCTTCCCGGAAGCCCGGCCTCGGAGCCTCGGCGTCCCTGGTCACCTTTGCAAAAGGAAGAGGGGCTTTCCCCGCTGGCCCGGACCAGCGAGTGACTTTGCTGTTTCCTCCTTGTCCCGTCAGGGAAGGCAACTCAGGAAACCTGGCCTTGGGCGATGGGGGGATTCGGTCAGCGGTTGTAAAAGTGTGGTCTGGGGGACCCTTCGGGTTCCAAGATCCTTTCAGGGAGTCTGTCAAAACGAGTTTCGTAATAATAGGAAGACGTCATTTACCTTTTTCAGTGTCACTAAAATTTTCCAGAGGCAACCTGATGTGTGATTAAGTCATCGCTCAGATGACTAAAGGAATGGCTTCTTGTATGTTCCGTGTTTTCTAGAATTTGCTAAGGTAATCTATTTGGATTTCTCAGTAATTGTTTTCCTCCTATACGGTACCTGTACTTTTTAGAGCTAAGAGAATGTTTTCTTTTATACTTTTTTCCTTCTTAAATCTTTGATCTTCCTTGTGGGAACCCTCCCGCCCCAGGTCCACTCTTCGTAATTTCCTTGAGTGAAGGTCTGCTTTTGTAACGTTTTCTGTTGTTGCTTGTATAAATGTGCGTTTAATTCACCTTAAAATTCTTGAGGGATTTATTTCACTGCTTATAGAATTTGAGGTTAGAAGTTACTTTCTTTCAGCACATTGGCGACATCTGACTGCAGAATTCCACTGCTGTTGAGGGCTTTTTTAATTCCTACCAGCTCCACCTGCGCTTCCTTTTTCCCCTTTATTTTTTATTTTGAAATAATTATAAATTTACAGGATGTATGATGACATCATTGCTCTGGCGACTAAAGGAACGTGTTGTGTGTTCCTATGTTTTCTAAAAAGGTCAAAGATAAGTATTTTTGCATTCAATAATTTTTAAATGTCCCGAGAGCAAAATGTTTGAGGACAGTTGGATTAGAATATAGCTCCTTCTGGATTGTACTCACTGGGACAAGTATTCGAGCCTCTTGCAGATAAGTTTTTCTTGTACAACCCACCTTCCCAGACAGGCCCTCCTGAGGGTCTTACTTCGGCTGCCCTGTCTGGGATTCTGGATGAGTGAGAGAGGAAGCATGAAAGGGGCCTGCAGTGCTTTCAGTCTGTAAAATGAGAGGTTGAACTATCACCAAATGATCCTCACCCCCAAACATCAACAAGTGGCTTTCTGTCTTTGCTAAGAATATCTCATAGGTAGAAAAGAAAGCAAAAGTAGGTTCTCAGTTACGAGAACCTTCTGGGGATGTCATGCATAGTGAGTCACTGTGGAACTTTACGAAATGTCTTTCTCAATGATCTTTAAAATGTCATTACTTCTCAATTGCCTAAGCTACTGCAGGTGTTGTCTTTCCTGACACCGTGACACACGGATGACCATTCATAGGCCCTCCCCTCCACTGCTTTGGTCTAACATGCAGGAGGGCTTAGGAGAGCTTGCTACACATTTACAGATAACTGTAAATTAGGCCTCTGTGACTAAGACGTAATGACAGCTGCCTAGTTGAAGCAAAACCAAGCCATTTTCTATCTGGGTTGCTCAGTTTTCCAGAAATGGATTGTTTCATTACAATGCATTATAATATTTTTTCTTTTACTTTCTTTTCCCAGTCTTTCATGCTCTTATGCTTTGCTTTGTCATTATGACAAGAAGAGCTGTCCTGAAAACAGATGGCTAAAAAAAGTTCATTGTGGTTGTGTTTGTGCAGGGGTAGGAGTTTAGAACCCTAGGAAACTTTAATTTTCTTCATGGCAGTGAGTCAGCTAGGCTTTTCCACTGTTGTAAACAGATAGATGCAATGGATAATAGATACTGGAATGTATATATTTGAAATGGTATAAAGAAGGGATTAACTACCTAGTATTTGGGAAACTTTATTTTGGTTAATAAATAACAAATCAACAAATATTTATTGAATCTTGTGCTAGATATTTGGGGGTTATAAAGGAGGACTTAAGTTTTTTAAATATATATTTTTATTGATTTTTTTGAGAGAGAGAAAAAGAGAGAGAAAACATCAACATGAGAAAAAACATCAATCTGCTGCCTCCTGTACGCCCCTTACTGGGGATGGAGCCTGCAACCCAGGCATGTGCCCTGATGGAGAATGGAACTGGTGACCTTTGGGGCATGGGACAGTGCTCAACCAGCCTTGCCAAACAGGTCAGGGTGTAGTGGACTAAGTTTTGAAACCAGCCCTCAGGGCATGCAGTTTACTTTTAGAGATTTGTGTGTAGTTTGCTACAGTGGAATTTAACCTTTATGAGAAAGAATTCTAGTAACTAGGTTTGAATAGGGGGAGAGGAAGAGGAAGGGAAATGTCAAGGCGCTTCCTCGATGTTTTACATTTGTTGTCTCATTTCGTCCTTACAAGCTTTGCAGAATGTGTCAGGTTAGCTCCGTCTTTACAGCTGAGAAAAGGGGAAGCTCAGAGGGGTTACAGAGTTGTCAAAGCTAGGAAGTGGAAGAGCTGGGGAAGAAGGAATTCTGTTGATTTTGGTGCCAAAGTGAAACTGTCCGGCCTGCCTATTAAACTATCACGAAAGGTGTCACTTATTTTTCTGTCTATTAAAGTAATGCATACGGATTAAGAAAACTAAAGCACAGAAAATACAAACAAGATAATGAGAATAATCCCTGTTAATACATTGGTTTCCTTCCAGTCTGTTTTTATGTACATATTCATGCAGGGCTGATATTTAGTTGGCATATACACTATAGTGAATTAAAAATCACCCGGCCGGCATGGCTCAGTGGTTGAGCATCGACCTAGGATCCAGGAGATCACGGTTCGATTCCCGGTCAGGGCACATGCCGGGGTTGCGGGCTCCATCCCCAGTGGGGGGCGTGCAGGAGGCAGACGATCAATGACTCTCTCATCATTGATGTTTCTCTCTCTCTCTCCCTCTCCCTTTCCCTTCCTTTCTCTGAAATCAACAAAGACATTTTTTAAAAGGTCACAAATGGCCCTGGCCGGTGTTGCTCAGTGGTTAGAGCATCTGCTTCGAACCGAAGGATCACAGGTGCGATTCCAGGTCAAGGGCATGTACCTGGGCTGCAGGTTTGTTCCCCGGCCTCGGTTGGGGCACATGTGGGAGGCCACCAATCGATGTGTCTCTCACATTGATGTTTCTCTCTCTCCCCCTCCCTTCCACTCTAAAAAAGTCAGTATCCTGGTCTGGCTGGGCATGGCTCAGTAGTTGAGCATTGACCTAGAATCTGGGAGATCGTGGTTCGATTCCTGGTCAGGGCACATGCCTGGGTTGCGGGCTCGATCCCCAGTGGGGGTGTGTGCAGGCAGCTGTCCAATGATGACTCTCTCATCACTGATGTTTCTTTCTCTCTCTCTCCCTCTCCCTTCCTCTCTCTAAAAAAAATAAAAATATATTCTTTTTGAAAAGAGGCTGGACCGTAAAGTGTAAAGTATTAATCAGGACCCCTGTTTGTAAGTGATGACACCTGCCTCTAACTAGCTGAGGCAAAAGAGGAATTCCCTGCTCACTGTAGGAAGCACAGGGATGACAGGAACCAGGACCCGTGGTA